GTTTCGGCGCAGCCGGTTTTATACCGCTCCACCAAACGAGCACTTTTTATGTGTCGCCAGTGACAAGGTCGACCAATGCCGGTAGGAGAAAGTGTCTCGCGAAGCTACACACGTTTCCGTCCACATGAAGAAATTGAGACACGCAATGCAACGTTGATAGCTTGATTTTGCAAAAAGGCTTGTTTCAGATGGAACGAAATTAATCTTCGGTAATATCCTTCTGTGACAATATTAATAAAATGTTCTCGTTTGAACAATTTAATATTTAATGTCTTTCATCTTAAAAGGTAAAATTACGTAAACTTGTTTGCATATGTTATTTATTAACCCTTTCACTGTTTCTTGCACCTATCGTATGTGATGCATGCGAATTTTTATTTCTTTAAACTTGTGTTTTATATAGATTTTTTTTAATTTACAGCATTTGGAATTTAGAATTATTGAAATAAATATTTATTAAAATTTAATTTTTTCAGTATAAAGATCAATTTTTTAGAACACTAAGTTTAACCGATAAAAACGACTGGAGGTGAAAAGGTTATGGAAAGTGACGAAGTAAACTGTGACTGCACTACCGTTTCATTCATATGTAGATTTTAGTTTGAACAGCTTTGGTATGAAATCAGTTTTTTCTCTTTTTGCAAGTTGAGCTACTACTTTGCACTGCTCCGTTTGAGCGTAACGAGCGCTCCGTTTGAGTGTAGATAAAATTAGCGAGAAACTGAAGAAATCAATATCATTGTGTTTCCTTAAGTCACTTGTTAATGTTAAAACTTTGAAACTCGAGCTTGTTACGAACAACTAGTATTTACTAACATTATTTTACAATGCGCTTTTAACGTAGCCTATTATCGGAAAAGCTCAAATGCTTTTATATTTATGATTGTAAAGTTTTAATTTGTGTTTTCTTGTCGCGATAATATAAATTATGTAAAACCTGTTTAAATATGTTTATATCATATTATTAAACAAATTTTGCGTAATTTATATTATTCATTACACTGTTCGACAAAAAGTCACGTTTTTCTTTCTCCGAAGTAATATAGTACATTTCTCGAAGATTTTTTCGTGTTTAACGTAATACTGTTGGTCGAATTTGCGTAACACGGAATAGTAATCAATAAATTGAGGTGAAACGTGCCACAAATGATGCTTTTGGTCATTTTCAATCAACATTTTTTACGGCCCGAAATTTTCTAAATTAAGTCTACGGTATATAAAAATATAATTTAAGAGCTTTTGAAATGGAGTTTTTAATTTATAATTGTATGACTTATTTTTATCAAGTTGTGACTGTTTGAATTTCAGATTTTCTGTATGTCATATAATTACACAGTTAGACAAAAGAATCATTTTTTTTCTCTTTGAAGTGCCATAGTACTGAAGATTTTTTTGCGCTGAACACGATGCCATCGTTAGAATGTAGCACTTCAGGATTTTTGGCAAATTGAGATGTAACGGTAAATTGGAGTGCATTTTAGTCCACTTCACTTCAATTTTACTAAAAATCCTGATATGTTACGAAAATTCTGACGACGATATCGTATTCAGCAAGAAAAAATCTTCGAGATATATACTACGGGATTTCGAAAAGAAAAAAATGAAAAATTTTTATGTTTAATTTTAGACTTTCTGTATATTTATTATGTGTAATTATATAGAAAGTCTAAAATTTAAACTTGATGAAAGTGAGTCATAAATTACGATCATAAATTAAAAACTATTTGAAAACTTTACAATTGTACTTTTAGATATTGCATTCAGAAACACTTTATTTTTTGTTTTATCGTAAAAATGTGTTGAAAATGGCGAAAATCATAAAGTATTAACATATTTTTTGCTCATTTTACCTTAACTTACTTAAAATCCTAACGTACTATGCAAATCTACGATATTGTGTTTAGTGCGAAAAAATCTTCAGAATAATACTAAAACACTTTGAAAAGAATTTAGTGTTATTAACGTTATTGTGAGTTTTTTATCCAGCTATTGCATTACATGAAAACATTTTAGTTCAAAATGCTGAAGAAAAATGAGAATGAAATTAAAAACCGGCGTATGCTTTTCATTATCTAATTAGATTTCGCGCTGACTTCATCAATTAACAACTATCAGTTACGGAAACGAAGTGTTATTTCGCCGATGCTGTCGATGCAAAATATTAAACGCGTTCGCGTAGACAGGTTTGGACGGCAAGAAATATCCATTGTCTGGGCAATTTTAAAAAAAGATCGAGAAATGCGATGATGCTCCGACTTGGCAATGTTAATGGCGATGGAATTTGATGGTCTAATCATGATGGATTCACAGTGGGAATACGCGGACTACGAGCCGAACAACATTCATATCTACGAGAAAGAATTTCATGATTATGTTGTGTACTATGTGGCGCAAAGAGACTCACGGCTCTTCTCAGGCAGTTCGCAGCACTCAAGTACAGGTATTCGGAAAATGTGGGAAAAAAAAAACATTTAACGCGAGACGTACATTTAAAAATAAATACAAGGTATCATACGTGAATTATGCGTTTCTCGTGTACGTCCGCGCGAAGTAAAAGCTTGGTCAACTTTGCCTCTTCATAACGTAAATATTGCTGTTTTGAAAGTAGCTCTTCAATAATGTTTACTTAAATTTCTTTCAATTTCTAAACGTGGAAATTGTTTTATTTTCATTTTATTAGCAAGTTCAAGAGAAATTATTTACTTTGTTATATTTGAAACGTGAGCGAATAATACCTACTTTGTGAAGCGCTCGCTATTTGAACACCGCAAATTTTATTGTCAAATTTACACTTTAAATAAATTTATATTTTGAATAAATATTTTATTCCGTATTTATATAGATTTATTGTTGTTACAATCATTAATAATAAATATACCGCAAATAAAGATATAATTGAAACGTGAATAATACAGTATAATTGCTTGTATTCTTTTTCAAAGAAGATGTTTAGATTAATTCAAGGCTTATTATTAGGCTAAATGATATCTTTAAATTAATAGATTTTTCTTCAATTTAAAATAGAATAAAATAGAGTAAAGTAATATCGGATCTGAGTAGTAGAAACTTTAGCCATTTTGATTTACGTATATTCCGCTTTGTGTCGATGGTTTCAATACATATTAATTAATTTTACATGTGCGACCATCTGCGACATGTGTGAGATGCAATAAATTATATGCAAATCTGTAGAAGTGTCAAGTCCACGCGCGCCGCGCTGTCGTATCGGTTAAAATAACGTTTTCGTAGTCATCCCAAGTTTATTGCGCAATGGCGTGAATTGAATGCCAGTTAAAATTGAGTAAAGTGTCTGAATCATTTATCGAAGGCCACGGAGGAGAAAAACAAACCTTTCAGATTGGTCGTCGCGTGATTCTTCGTTACTCTTGTCACGTTTGCTCATGGAATACAATAGAGAAAATTTTATTTCCAGATCGTTCATTGCAGAAAAAATAATAGGAAAGGTGGTTGTTCATTTATGATATATATATATATATATATATATATATATATGACTAATCTGGTATTGATGTCTTTTTTCATGGCTTTTGGCGATTATACCAATCATACATATATGATTGGATGCGTTCCGTTATGCACGTACTGAAAAAATAGATATACAACCCGGATTTATTTTTCGATATAATATCAGTTTAATACTCGAGGCTCTTAATTTTATGAAGCTAATTAATATTATAATAATAAATGCGCTGATAATATCTATCGATTTTATACGAGTGTATCAGACTGATACTATATCAGCACTACATTTAGAGAGTGGTGATTATTTACAATTAAATCAAGAAATCGCAATGTTATTAATTAACAATAAATATACATCTAATCGGGAGAAAATAGTTTCTCTAAGTGCGACAGATTCTGTCAATAAGTATAATAAAATAAAGTTAATAATATTATAATAGGAATGTGCCTCGCCTTTCACAATCAGCCGTTCACCTTCTGAAATAAGATTTTCGCGATGGTCTTCCATTCGCGACAGAACGAACGCTTAAATTGGCAATAATTAACCGCGTTTATCTTATATGCAGCAGATTCAACCCCTAGAATGACTTTTGCGTGACCCGTCACGTGCTTGGTGGTTTATCATCGAGTCGCAGTCGCCACAGTGCAGCTGATTGCACTGGCGATGAGTAATGTAATCGGGTAGGCGGACTAGAGAAAGAAAGTAGAAATTAAATTTAACCGTCACTTACTGCCGTGAATGTTTAACATCTCATTGCAGCTATTTTTTTTCCTCTCAGGAACGTAGATTGATATCGATTTTGTTTCGCGAAGACTCAACGAAGATTCAGACATTGTCCTTATCGAGGAAACACTATACGTAGGATAACATCGTATATCTCTTTCATGCTGCAAAATGCATCTTACCGAAGCAAAATTTGCTTCTGTCTACATTCTACAATTCAGTTTTGGACACATAGATATTATACAGGAATAGCTCACGAAATGTTATATCATTTAATTATCTAATTTTTAAATTGACTTTGATATTAATTCTATACCAGTTCTATACTAATTTTATTAAAAATAAATGTGTTATATATAAATCGAATCGTACAATATTTGATTCTTGTGCCGCCCTGTGTATATGTAGCATTTTACAATATATTTAACTATTTTATGTAACAGATATAATATGTTAAAACTCTTACAGTAATATTATCGCAGTCGCACGATTTATCTAAAAGTAAATTTGAGTTTATTGAAAAAAAAAACGGGATAAATGTGCAGTATCTTCTTTTAATATCTCTCCAGACTCGATACTTGGAAGTAGATACGTTTAATCTGAAATCTGATTTTTTTCATCAAGTCATTTTTACAAATAAGATTAAATATAACTATATATAAGATATTTATGGATGGAGGATATCTGCGTAATCTTATAGACAAATCGAGATAAAATGTTACATCAAATATGCTTTGTTGATTAATATGTTGTTCAAAAAACATGAGTGAAATCTATTTTTTTTTCTGCATAGATTCCGATAACGAGAGCAAAGATGGCTCCACGACACAGGAAAAGAAACACGGCCGTGTCTCGCAGCCTATCAACACTATTGCCTATATGGTAAGTACGTCTGTATGCATAGTAAGCACCCTAATTGAGCGTATATTAAGTTCTAGTATACTCTGCGATGCGCTCATTCGCACGATTCCAATGGGCAATTAAGTGTTGAGACAAGAAGATTAGGTGCCAAGGAGAGCAAATGTAATCTTTGCTCGAATGCATAAATATCCGTTATCCTTAGTAGTAATGTAGCGTAATATAACTGTTTCTTCGCTATCGCTCCAAAGAGGGACATTTAAGATGAGATTTGAAATTTCAGTTTTGAAATTCCGGTATGTAACGATTTATTAATATAAAATGAAGATCCGTAAAAGAGAGTCGATTAAATATTTGTGATGAAGTTGACGATCAGGCATGAAGGAATATTGTAAAATAGGAATAGAAAATGTTATTTAGCAGCATAAATTTTTTGAAGGAAGCAAACTCCGTTACATAAACTAAAATTCTCTTGCGGTACATTTTTTAACCGTTACGTGACTACGAAAGGTAATCGCGTGATTTTTTTCTCAGAATTATATATTTTTTTATATAATAAAATAATTTCCAAATAACAGTAAGAAAATGTTAAACATAGAGACATCGAGACTAGATATTTGTGCTTAATAATATTTATATGTAAATTTTAAATATATCTTTCAGTTATATAAAAACTCCGCGCCGATTGTTGTCAAATTTGCAACACAGATTATATCGCGTAGATGCTATATTAACTGAAATGATCTCACAAATTCAATTGATCGATTTGATAATAATGCTAGTATTTCAAAACGTTATAAAAAATTTATTGCGAGAAATATTATTATACCTTAATCAGGATACGAATTTGGAATTTCTAAACTATTCGAGACGAGTGTCTTTCAATTTGATTACTGAAGCATTTAATAATGTTTATCGTAATAGATAATATACAAAATGACCCATGTAAAGATGTGTGTGTGTGTGTGTGTGTGTTGTGACAAGCCAATAACTATAAAAATATTTGTCGTCCCACACAAAAAGTTATTCTTGAGAAAATTTCATGTATTTGAGGAGCTTTTCTAACTACTTAAACAAAAATTCACCCTGGCTTTCCCTCTTGAAAGGAGTAATTTCATAATTTTAAATGGAATCTCCTATAAAATGTTACACATTTATATTGTCAAGAAAAAAACAAGTAAACTTTATCTGGAACATCTCTTTGAAAAATATTTCTATCAAAAGTTATAAACATTTAAACTTCAGAGAGCATTCAAACTAATAATAAAATCATGAAATATCATATAAATTAAATAAAACATGAAAACCTATAAAGCCTTTTATTTATGATTTTATTATAAATAAAAGGCTTTAGATTTTTATTTTTTATTTAATAAAGTTTGAATGCTCTACTTGAAAGTGTAAATATTTATAACTTTTGATGAAACATTTTTCAAAGAAATATTCCAAATAAAGTTTATTTATTTTTCCCGTAGAATCCAAACATGTAATATTTTATAGAAAGATTCATTTGAAATTATTTGCCCTTTTTTCAGAAAGGGAGTGAGATAAATTTTTATTTACGTAGTTAAAAAGTTCCTCGATACATGACACTTTCTTATGGACAACTTTTTCATACGACAAATATTTTTAGAGTTATTGATTTCTCAAACAACAACTTACTTTACATGGAGCACTCTCTGTATAGAAAAAACGTACATTGAAAGATGTGTGTGTGTGTGTGTGTGTGTGTGTGTGTGTGTGTGTGTGTGTGTGTGTGTGTGTGTGTGTGTGTGTGTGTGTGTATAAAATTTAATATAAGACCGTATATATGAATAAATCAAATAACAAAGCGCCAAAACATGGTAAAATAATTTACGATAAATCTGTAGTATTTTACTTTTTCATACTAAACGTAGGTATATAAAATTAGCTTTAACAGAACTCGCGCGCGTAATTCCGTGTTCGTCGAAATCGAAGAATTAAATTAAAGAATTGAAAAATCGAAGGAATTTATACAGGTACAAGATCGTAACGGCAGAATAAGAGCTAACCGCACATATTACTGGCGCTTCGGTTATCAGCCGCGACGCGCAGTTATCAGCGCGCGCGCGTATTTTCCGGTGTGAGACACTTCGGCATGAATTCCAATTACTTCACTGAGAGCCTGCGCTCGCAGACTCTCGTTAGCGAAATAGTTTCTCCCCGGTGGGTCGTATTCGTGGCGAAAGGCCGCCACGAGTTTGCAAAGACCGCGGACATTCGCTCCCGGAACTTCGGAGACGCGGGACGGTACTCGTGCGCATCGCTAGAATTCTAGAGCGGCGCGTATGCAAAGATCGCGGTCCCGAGGCGGCACGCGTCCACTGTGCCCAAGTCCGTCGGAACACACCTCGTGTCGAATCGATCTTCGGCATGAATTCTGATCTGCGAACCTTTCCGTTTCAACGGAAGACATGTCCGATATTTAGACGCTTCTTTTGGCTTACGCTTGTGTGTGTGTGTGTGTGTGTGTGTGTGTGTTGTTGTGTGCGAAGAAATTTCAAAAGATATTCAACTTTGATTTCAAACAATTTCACAGAAAGAACGATTTTATTATTGGAAATATATCTAAAAATTCAGCTAAATACAGATCTGAACATTTTTGTTGAACCATCAAAATGGTTATGTATTAGAGGAAACTCAATACATGATGAGCAATGCTGCAAAAAATTTTGATAGTTATTATGATGGTTCAATAAAATTATTTTCAGATCTGTATCTAATTAAATTTTTAGATACTCAAAATAATTTTGTCGAACCATTAAAGTAATTATGTAGAATTCTCAAATATGACGAGTAATGTTGTAAACAATTTTAGGAATCAGCTTAAGCTGAGCGTCTTAATTATTTTGATGGCCAACAAAATTTTTTTTTAGATCGATATTCAACTATATTTTTATGATTCAATGTTCTTTCCGTGAAATTAAAAACGGATAAAAAATAATATATGCGCGATATAATTTCGTCATACGTAAATAAAACATAACTCATTTAGAGAAAAAGTTTGAGAGCATAGTTTTTTTGTAGTTTTTTTGTCTTTTTTCATTCGCGATAATTGTGTTATATCTTATGTTATAACGCCATAAAGTAACGATCATAAAGTTGATCGCGATTGCCGATTTCGCACGTGCATACAGATCTCGAGGGAAATTTCTCGATCGTACTCTAGGAAGAATGACATCCTTCTCTCTCTTCCTTCTAACCCTAACTTATTCCTAATGCAATGCTTGTGAAAGGCTCTCTTCAGGGAGCGGAAGACCGCGCGACATTTATCCGACGAGGAAATAGAGTTGTTGCACAAGCTGCATTTCCTGATTCCCTTCGGAGAAGATAGAGCAAAGCAGAAATCCGTGCAAGTTTAACTGATCTTAATGTCATTATGATGCGTTCCGTTTCATTTTCTTTTTAAATGTTAACTTTAATGGAAATTTCGTCTTTTTTTCTGATGAGAGAGATTAGCGAGAGGTAGTTATTATTAATTATTTAATTATCTTACCACACACACAATTTGAATTAAAGAATTATTACTAGCATTACGATTAAATTTCGCAAAAACACCACTGATTATCATATCTTTAATGTATTATATATAAATAGCCAAGTAAACAAATTCAATTCTACGAATGCATTCGTTATCTCATTGATTTTCTGTTGATTCGATACGATGTAATTCTTGTATAATTAATTGCATTTCATATCAATAAAATAAATTATAACATCGCATGTATTGAAATTAATGAAAATTAGCACAAATTAATATAATCATTAATAACGAAAAGAATGAAAAATATTTTAAAATTTAAAGAAAAGGATTTAATATTAAACAGATTATTAGAATTTAAGATTGTAAGAAATGATTTCCGTGCATAATATGAGACATATATTTTCGTAATTCACATAATTATATAAAGTTATTTAAAAAAAAACTAGAAGAGCACTAAGTGCAAACGAAAAAATTATTTTGCAAAACACACACAATTATGTTTTTTAAATACATTAACAAATTTAAAAGCAGTAATAGCTAAAATCACATAAAAATGTTGTAAGAAATTTTTGTTTTTTAAAAATAAATTTAAAAAACATAATTTTTTTTTAAAAACGAGAAATATAACGAGAATATTAATGTAAGAAATATATGACGATTTTATTGTTTAAATCTATTTTTCTAAATTTAGAAAAAAATAAAAAATTGGAGACAATTTAATATTAATTTCTAAATGACTTATCAGCTTTGAATTGAAGATAAGAATAAATGATTTCCATGATTATATGGAAATATAATTAACATTAATACATTTTCGCAATCCACGTAATGTTAATCCGTTGATGGGTCGTCCTTCGGTAGCTGCTGGCATTATCCCATTTAACGGCAGTGAAATCACTATGGCGTAATGTAACCCCTGTGTGATAATCACGGTGGCTGCAATTCCTGCTCTATATTAGAGCTCAGCTTATGTCGCTCGTTTCGGCTTCCTTGCACCCTGTTGATCGATTAACGTCTGTAATCTGACAATTTCTCTTATCTTCCTCATGCTGGTGACCTCAATGTTCGCCACAATCACGCACAATTAAACAATAACAGTTTCCAAGTTTACACTTATCATTTTATTGATTTTCGGATGGAGATATCTAAGTAAGACGTATTTATTTTTCTATTGTAATTGGAAATTTTGATAATGTTATCAACGTTATCATAATTTCCAGTTACATTGATACCAATCATTAATGCAAAGTGTTACTTGGAAAGCAATACTTCAATTTAATCTGATATTATTAAGAAAAAATATGCCAAACTATGTATTACAAACATAATCTTACTTTCATCATTTAATTTTTTTTAGTTCTGTAATAAAAAAATTCTTTAAATAATTGTAGCACTTGTAATCCTCGAAATTACGATAACTTAATAATATACGTTTGACAGTAACGAAAGAAATTTTAGAAATCTACTTTTATCTATTTTTATTGTTGTAATTTGGACTAAACTTAATTTAAAATATTTGAAACATTTTGTTATTATGACTTTAAATTAGATGGTTAAATTAGATGGATTTAATAAATCCCATCCTAATAATTGTGCTGCATATTTTCATTTGAACTATCTCAGATTAGAAGCAATCTATGCTCCCGTTTAACTTATCACAGTATTTAAACAAATTTTCTTACTTGTAATAGCTATGTAATAATTTTTAACTGAAATTCCTTGTAATTAATCTACGATATTAGACTACCAGAGCGATTTTTGTCAGCATCTGATTTAAAAAATCTCGATACAATTGAATTTTGACTTTCCTTCAAAGAGTTTTGAAATTTCTGTCAGAAGGTATTATATAAAAGTTAAATAGTTTTTGATTAAAATCTAAAGAAATCAATAATTTTTGCCATTAACAAAATAAAAAATTGTTTCCCAATTGCATTCGTGAAAATGTTCTCCGTAGATGAAGCTGTGAGGAAACTGATAAGAAATGATATACTGCTGAAAACAGGCTGCATATTATCAATTTTCTAGCGTTATGCGAAAAATCGGCGAGTTTGAGAGATAAAAGCACGAAAATAGAAAGCTTCTCTCTCGCGGAAGATCTTTTGTGATTTGGCAGCATCTCGCTCAACCAAAACGAAGATGAAGATTATAAAGCCGCAGCTAAAAGACGTGGAAACTGAAACAATGGCCATCGTACTTGTCTTCTTTTCTCGGTTTCAGAAAATATCTTCCCGTCCTGCCCTCCATCGCTCTTTTTTCTTTACTCTTCTTCTCAGCTTCATCACTGCGATTCTTGCTTTTTGTTTTAATCGATCTCTCTTTTCCTCCTTTTGCTGTCGTCCACGCGTCTAATCTCTGTCAGACGAATAGCCGTTCTTTTTCTCGTTTGACCGCACCACTAATGGAAGGAGGAAAGGAGGGATTTTGAGCTGCTTTCTAATCACTCATCTAATCACTCATCTGCATCGTTCTATATTTATCCAGAATGAAGGATGTCGAAAACAGATATTTAAGCGACGTCTACATTCTATGTTACATTCTTCGAAAAGAATTTATTAAATGGCGTGTCCTGATACATAAATGAAACAGATATAATGAAAAATTTTTTAATACTACGGATAATTCTGGTATGAAGTTTTAAGTTATAAATAATTAAAGATAAAAATTACAAATAAGAAATTTTTGAATAACTTCATATAAACTTATATTAATATGAGTAAATTGATCTTAACTCGTTAAAAATTGATTACATTAAAAATATATAATTTCTAATTTAATTATAACTTAACATTAATATTGGAAGAAATTACATCTAAAATTTTGAAACGAATTTTAATTTCTGAGAAATAATAAGAACTACCTACTCATTTCCAGAAAATAATAAAGGAAACTGCAGTATTTTAAAAATTGATTTTGTGTATAAATGCTTTGAAAGTAAATGGCTTAATTGTTCGAGCGACGAAGGGCTTTAAAGCCTCAGGGAACTTTATCGAAAAAGATGATAATAGCAAAGCAAGATTTCCGTGTCGTGTCACCTAATAGAGTTACGAGAGCGCTAGGAAAGTGGTAGACAACGCACAATTGAAGAGAGGGTTGAAGTGTCGCGGAATAATTAACGAATTTCCCAGCGGAACATAAATCGCATTTTAAGCGTCGGAAACCCTATTTTCCGCCGATGTTTCTGGAAAATGGCAGACTTGCCGACGGTGAGATTAGCGTCCGTTTGCGTGAAGACGAGCTTTTTAATTGAATTACCCTCGACCCTTTCTCGCGGGCAGGTTTCGTTCAAGAAGAGGAGAGCAACCGCGACAAATAGTCCGGCCGTGCAACACCGAAGCGGCATCGCTATAGCAAGTCGTTGCATACGAATTTACATAAGAAACGTGCCGCAGTCGCATCTCGCCAAGGTTCTTTTTCCAGGAATTCAATTTTCTATCGTCCGATACTCTCAAGCACGCCGTTTCTGTCGGCTTATGTAAATGGGCTAATGGCCCCGTGTCTGCCTCAGGCGCTCGTGTGCGGGAAAACGCGTACCGGAGAAAGCTCAGATGCGCAAGGAGTAGCGATTTTGTCACAGATGCGATCCTCCCGGTACGTTACGTCGAGTAGATTTGTATGCACTTAGCGCGCAAATACGGATTCGATTTAAAAAAGTGAGAAAGAAGAAATTCAGATCGATCGCTAATACGTATTATTTATGACAGTAGAAACATCTTAAGGATGTTCAAGATTCGGAAGAATACGGTAAAAAATGACTAGAATTGGAAATTTTTATATTTTCCATATAAAAATCAATGTTATATACATATAAAATAGTCCAATATAGACTTAAGGTCAATATTTAAGGTTTATATTTAACAGCCCAATTTTATAATTTAAATAAAAATTTTATTTTATTTTAATTATATTTTTAAAAACATATCTATACTATATATCTTCTATGGAAATAATTTTTTAATTCCCATCAAATTTTTTGTAGTAATTTTTTTCATTTTATTAAAAAATACATATATTACGTCCTTAAGATGGAGCAGACTTGTGTCCTCATTATTGCATATCAGTGTAGACGGAGAGTGTTGTTACCGTTCCATAAAAAATTAAAATTGTGATACAATGATACGTGGAAGCACATCGTGTCGTATTAAATTGATACGCAACGATGATATGACACGCGTATATGCAATAAGTTTGTATCCGCTTCTGTGTTTCGATTAGAAATCGCCTCAGCTTCTTCTTTCGTTTACGGCGAGAAAATCAAGATTCAATCATTTGGCGCATTTATTCTGACTGGTTTGTTTTAAATTATTCGATTAAAAAGCTTCATAAACAACAATGAGAACGATGATGTCTTCTCTTTGCATGAGAAGCGAGCAACTTTGCGCGAGGAAAGTTGGGTCGTGCGAAAAAAGTGATTCTTTCTGAGAGGACGTTCCCTGCAAATTAATCTCTGCCTAATGACACGTTTACTTTTGTACTTATAGGTGGGTGATAGAGACACGCTTACATCAGTGGCAGCAAGATTCGATACGACGCCATCCGAGCTGAGCAAATTGAATAGGCTCGGAAGTACTTTCATTTATTCCGGTCAACAGTTATGGGTGCCGGCGAAAGGAGAAGGACGTCCGGGAGGCGGATCAATCGCAGATGCGCCCAGCCCTGACCCTTGCCACGATCATGAGTCTCAGGATGACCTACCACCCGAAGAAAAAGGTAATCTTCATTGTTTTATTTAATCTTCTTAGATGCTGACTTATTGGGTTATCGTATAATGTTTACTAAAGCCGATATCTCTTCGAGTTTATATTCAGCAAAAAGTTACATTTGCAAGTCCTTTATATCTGCAAATAGTGCATTCAAGATTTTGTAATGGTGGATATAGAATTCTGGGAAAAAGAATTTTAATCGAAATAATTCGCTCTTCTTCTCAGCATCGTAATCTCTATATACGAAAAGAACAGTTTTGCTGAAGTATCTAAAGATGAGCTGGAGACCTAATTATTAAATAATTTTATAAGATGCTCAAGCTAGTTGTTAGAATATCAATATTTTTTGCGATATTACTCATCATACTTGAATTTCCTATATAATTATTTTGATGGTCCAAAAGTGTTTTCAGATCTGTACATAGCTAAATTTTTAGATAGATACTTGAGCAAAATTATTCTTTCCGTGTAAAAAAGTGCTATTAAAAAAATGTTTAATTATATGGATGAATTTTCATTCAAAGTGGTGTGTTAATGTAAGAAAAATATGATTCCAACGATAGAGAAAATTATATTATTGTTTAGCGAACGAAAGCGGAGAAGCGGGAATTTGTTTACGTATCATTATGTCATTACAGATAGCCCGTAAGAATAACAAGCTTTCGAGGAATAGATAATTAAAACTTTACTAACGATAATCCGACCTTATTATGCTTATCACGTTTACCGTCAAATGCAATATTAAATGGCTTACGAAGTAAAAGGAAGAAATATTTTCGACGACGTTGAAAATCTACTTGCGTTAAAAAGACATAATCCAGCTGTCGCGATAGGTGGTCGTCGAAGGACGTCGTGCTCCTTTTTTCTTCCTCTATTACGACGCCAACCAGGGCATGCAATTAAAATAGAGCTCTCGTCCTTATTCTCGTCGAATTCGTCGCCCCGGGGCCTTGTCTCTCGCATTATGCTAATACGCAAGACAGATTTGATACACGCGTAACAGCGTGGGCATGAATAATGCATAAGCAGGATCCACGGAGTAGCTACGCCCAGGCGTTGTGCGTGATATGCGCTAGATTGGCACTCACCTGACTGAATATACGGAGGAAAGAATTGGGATATCGGATATTATCTGCGTACAAAGTCGACCGTTCGAATGAATATTAATGCGTTACCACATCCGCGTCATGCAGATCCCGAGAGATCGATACGGAGCACTATTGTGACTAACGCATTGCCTTTTCGCGTTTTATTTGCCCGTCGCCTGCGGCGAGCCGCGAAACTCCCACATTTCACTTGTCGATTATTACCGATAGAAGTTGGCAATCGAGTTATCCATCGCCGCACATTCGCGCGAGCTAATTAGGATAATTTCGAGCTTGGAATTACTCATCGCATAAATCGCTCAGAATATTACATTATCATACTTTTAAATTGTTATACTTTTCTTGAAACCGAATATTGAACACAAATCATTATGTGAGAGAAAGTTAATTAGAAAAATTGTGTCACATATACTAGATTGATAGAAAAAGTTTATATAAAAAAAGAGAAAGTTACAGAAAAATTATGTAACATATTAGAACATTTATTTTAGGTGCTCACTCGCTAAAAGCTTCAATCTGTCTTCCTTTCGCATGCGATAAATGAGTGATAAAGATATAGAAGGAAGTGACTAGATCGTTCAATTATTTTAATACTTTTGAAGCTTTCACAGGTGTTTTCTTGAAGTTCCAAAAGGTTTACGGGTTGTCGTCACACGGATGTTGTAATCTGTTGCTAATACCAACGTTTCGTGAACTTGCCGTTCATTTTATCAGGGCGAGAAGCGCACTGATACTGTATTTATTTTATTTCGAAGGTCAAAACCGGAAAGCTTCTATCCAAATGAAATTGAAAAATTGACTTTAAGGTGACAGACAAGAAAGGAGCAAAATGGTTATGGATTACGCATTAACCTTTAGTATACACGATTGGGTCATTCGTGTTTCGCAATTTTTTTTCTTTTAAAAAATTAGGAACCTCAAGTAATTAGTTTTAATATTTACATATAATTTTTCTAAATACACAACCTTACAGGTACACATCTTTCTAAAATGATAAAGTATAATATTTGTTAGAATCATTTAATAATTTTTATATATTTATTAAAGTGATGAAAATTAATTCATGAATGGCTCATCGTGTGTAGTAAAGAACAGGAAAATCATTGTGTGTACTAAGGATTAATTAAATGTAAGTTTAAATATAAGTTTCGTTCTTCAACTGTTTTAAAAAAAAATGGCACTTATCGAACGGCCTAATAATAAAAAAACGAACGGAAATGTAGGTTCTCGATGTATAAATTAAGAAAATAATAAATACAATTTTTTTCCTCGGGAAGAAAAACCGAGATACTTTGTATTGTCCGTCTCTTTCTCGTAATGTGTATTCTATACTGACAGAAACAATCATAACACATATCTAATTTCTAAAAATATGGAACTGCTTATTTATTTGCGAACACCAGTTCATCCGTATTGTACGCACTTGTGAGGGAAATGATTAACGCTTAGGTACGTCGAACGTGATAGAAAACTCGAGTTATGATGTTATACAATTGCGTGATTCACTACTCGGCTGTTTGTCTGTTTAGCGGAACAATACCAAGCGAATTGTTACGCGCACTCGCTCGAAGTTTATTTATGTCTTCTTTTTCTTTTTCTTCTTCTTTTTTTTCTTCTTCGGGAAGCGCTTTGTCACCGCCGTCGCCGCCACATCGCACTGTAACGCAAAATATGTACACGTGATCGCAACATTCATGCGGCACGTGCGCGGCATCACGTTTTGTAATGCCGAGAAGATCGGAGAGAAAAGGCGGAAAAAGATGAAGTTGATCACGGCCGATTGTGAACCTGCATCTTTTGCGATCTGCGTATCGGAAGGTCGACACAGTAGATACCGCGAAAAATGCAATTGCATTACATAGGTGGCTTAAAATTAAAAACAGGCTTATTTATTTTGGAGAAAAGTAAAAAACGAGTTTTTTTTAATGATTTTTTTAATAACCACTTTAATTAAAATGATATATAGAATTCATGAAGAATATATTGAATTTATGTTAAATATATAAAAGAATATATAAAATTCATTTTTCTTAATATTCATTGTTAAAATATTTGATAGATTTAAGTATACTACCTCTTATTACTTATTAATTATTTGAACGACAGACATTTTATATTTTATTCCGATTTTAAAAGTTAAATATGTAATGATTCATACTGTGTTATTAACATAGATAATACGTTATTAGCATAATTGACACTGTCTGAAGATAAAAATGACTGAAAAAACTAGAAGCTTTGAATAAAAAATGTAATAAAAATCAGTTTTTTACTATACCAGGATATGTATTTTCTTTAAACACTTGATGCTGTATTATTGTTTTAGAAATTATTTTTTATATCCATCCGTGACCATCGTCATTGCAGTAACACAAAGACATTTTTGCTTCAATATTCATAAAGTTATAAAGACATAAATATTATATAATATCGAAATAACGTAAGTATTAAACGTTTTAACGATAAATATAAAAAATGAATTATATATATCTTTTACAATTTTCATAAAAATACTTTACCGTAAAAAAAAAACCAGTCTTTTACTCCGAAATGAAAAACTTGAATCGTACGATTCGATATTTATATTGCATGTAGGTATATATACATACATATATTGAAAGCTATCAGTGCCTCGACGTCTTCTGTTGGAAAACCTGAGATCGATACATTAGTAAGAAGAAGTGAGAATAACCAACGGAATGTAGTTTAAAATATTCTGTGTATCATATCGATTTCTCATTCAATATTCTTCCATTTTTATTTTTATTACTTTTTATTCTCTCTCTCTCTCTCTCTCTCTCTCTCTCTTCATTCAAGAACGTTTCAAGTTATTGATTGTATGAGATGAACGAATATAGAAATGTGGTATCCGATCGATCATACATGAAAAAGTTAAAAGATAGTTATTTTAAATATGAAGCGGACCGATTTTTATTCTTCAATTTTCTTTTGCGGACCACAATGCTCTCTTTCATCGCAAATGTCCGCAATATTCGTAATGTTCGAAAGAACTTGCGAATCAAACAAATTCTAGAGCATACACCCGCGAATCACCCGGTATATCGCGCTCATCAGCTGATCGACCACAGTGTGCGGAGCCGCGTAAACACGTTTCTAACCTATATGCCAGCATAATAATGCCCATACTACATCGTGACGTTGTGGCAAATGAGATGGATGGTATAATTGCCGATTTCGTCGGAATTGTACACACGTGACTCGTTACTCGCATTATTACGATGAATAATGAATTACATCGCAACATTCTGGATGTGAGGTTAGATCGATATGAGCAGTCGGAGTTTAAACAAGTGTCACTGCTTATCTTTTATCAGATAACGAATTTTTAAAAAATCACAGGAGTCAGTGGAGTACGTTATTGTCGGTTCTTTGGTCCAAGTTGATCCTACTTGCATTCTTAATCGAATTTCTTATAAACTGTATTAGTATCAATATTTTCTTTTTGTGATAAATGGAATGAAACATATACTTGTGTATTTTAAGGCATATGTTTTTATTTCGCACTTACTATCGCAACGTTTGGTTTTATAGAACTTCTGGATAATCTTAGACCAGTGTCACCAAAGCCAGGCCATATGGAACGTATAAAAACACCTCTTGGAACATCCAGTGTGGCTGCAGATGAAGATGAACAACCATTCAGAGAAAGATTTCTAAAAATTAATGTCAGGCATATCACAGATGGTCAGGTAATTGTCTTTAATACTTTTTAATATCATAAAATAAATAAACTTTGGCCTAAATTTAAAAAATACCTACGCAGCATGCATGTCAGGATATATCATGTTTTAAAATGTTTGTAAGACATTTTTAAGATATCTTATGTCTAAATTTTTACATGTATGTCGTGTGAACATTATCGAAACTTGGGTCAAAATTATCTTAATTTTGGAAATATATTTTATTTTATTATATCTATAAATTCCATACAAGAGTTTTAACATTTTCTAATATTGAAATATTCTTTTATAGGGTGTAGTCGGCGGTGTGCTGTTAGTTACGCCAAACGCAGTTATGTTCGATCCAAACGTATCTGATCCTCTTGTTATCGAGCACGGTGCTGAATCTTATGGAGTGATTGCTCCCATGGAATTCGTAGTCAACGCTGCGATTTATTATGATATCGCACACATGAGGGTCTCTCATACTGAATCCGGACATTTAGACAAAAAACCTGAAATTTATTACATGAAAAAACCCCAAATAGATAATCGTAAATGTCAGTCTCCGGGGAAAGATGAAAATTTCCCTGAATTAGCAGGCGACGATAGCGAAAGTGTGTGTAGCTGTGCCGAGAGAGACGGCGATGCTTTTCCAAAGGCCTTTGAACGAGAGCTTGTTACTCCTACCAATCTCCAGAGTGTAAGTATTTTCTTGTTGTAATGTCAATTTATTGCAATATCAATTTATTATATAAAGCAAAGTGTTAAAATTATATTTTAACGAATATATCGTTATTGTAGGAGGAGAATTTAACCTCGACCAAAGATAAAGAGAAAGAGAAAGACAGTAATGAGAAAGAATTTTGCACTGGCGGCCAAGCTAGTAGAACTTTAGAGGAACGTAGACGTTCCATGCTTGACCATCATTGGGCAGTTCCTAGCAAAGATCGAAGTACGTTTTCAGTTGATGACGAACAACAAGATTCACTAAATTCTGATAAGGTAATTATATTTCTTTCATAATATAACATAGAAAATTAGTAAAATTTATATAATAAATTGAAATTGGGATACATATAACACATATAACAATTATAAAAAATATACATTTAGAAACAATTGTTACAGCAGGCGGAACCACCAGCTAAATCAAATGCTATTCCTGAGGACGAAGAAGGATCTCTAGTCAAATTGTCGTGCCATGATTCTGGTATCGATATACGTGATCCTAATCCACCTATTCCAGTAGTACAGCCTATACCATCAAAAAAAGTTTACTCAGATGCGGATATTGTTTTATCCTCGGATTGGGTTCCTCCAATAACGATAGCACCAACGAATGTTACGAGTACGTTGGAAGCCAGTTCTGCTATTAATGGCAGGAAAAAAGCTAGCTCGGTGTCCTTTAGCTTAGAGAGTAATGCAGAAGAGCCCGAAAAGGATGAAGAACACAAAGAGGATGATAAACAGGAAACTCGAAAGAATAAGGTATATATTTAAATTTAACATTTGCATTATAATAATGTGGAATTATACTTTTTATAGATATGCTTTATGTATTTGTTTTGACATTTTAGATGCTAAAACGTCTGTCATATCCATTGTCCTGGATGGAAGGTTTAACTGGAGAGAAGGATGACGAGAGCAGTAAATCCATTTCTGACAAAATGTCAAGCCTTCCAAACAGTGCGGATTCTCATCATTCCTCTGTTTTCAGCAAAGTCTTCTCGAGGTGAACAAATTTATGTCATATTATATTGATAATTATCGATAAATAATCTAGCGTGTTTAAATATATATGACATTTTTACAACCGCTTTTATTTTTTCACACATTTCTATTTGTCTGTGTTAAGAATGATTAACATTCTTGCAAAAATGCATTCACAGAAAACAAATGAATAATTTTATCGCTTTTATTTTAACTTGCTTTTTGTGAATTTCTATAGAATATGATATACAAATGAGGTTATTTGTAAGTAGTTATTCTTTGTGTAACATGTACATTTATTGTATCTTTTTCAGAAGATAAAATGAACTTTATCTTTATGAAACTGATATAGCCTCATTTGTGTTAAGCCTTGTGTTCACAATGCTATAAATTGTTCCGAGACCTCAAACAGAGAAAAAATTAAAATAAATTATATTTGAACAATTCGATCACATGATCAGTGCGATTGATCAATTTTTTCTCCGTCCGAGATCTCGAACCGATTTCTAGCATCATGAATAACAAGATTTTATAATGTAGCATATACTAGCTACTTGCATAGGAAGAGCTTCTAGCATATGAAAGGCATTACGAAATAAAAAACTTGAAAGGAATATATAAATATAGGTATATGTTATAGATGATCAGTCCAAAAGACTGATAATTATTGTGCGGTCAATTATGACGATATTCCGAGATGTTTATGTTTAAATATTTATGCTTATGTTGCGCCTATATTGCTTACGATATGAATTTAGATATTTATTAACGCTTCACTATTATTTCTAATGTAACTAACAAAGAATATGTAATGGTGGTGGAAAAAAGCTCGCCGATCAACCTGGTGAGTGACTTTAGCTCGGGCCTGTTTGCTAAAACCCCCAGCGAAGAGAGTGGCGGGGGCGGTAGAGCGGGCGGAACTCCTCCGCTTACCGCCTCCTCTCTCTCCCAGGACTCCAGCAATTTCTCACCTGGTCCAGGAAGCCTCATTGGGTGAGTCTGGACCCGATCGTAACCTTGTTGTGTTTCCCCTTTTCTCTTATTTCTCTATTTTTATTACCTGATCTATCTTTCATCTGATCGACTTTTGTATGTGTCGATTCGGAAATATTCTATTCTAGTAGAATCCTCCTTCAATGTTGTAATTACGAAATATAAATTACGAAATATGTTATTTGAATCTTTTAAATGTAAATATTACAAAAGTAAGATTATATATGTATTATGCAATTGTCAAAGTATTCGGAGAATTCTACTGTTCCAACGTTTCTCCTTTCCACACATCTCTCCATTGTTTTGTTATTATTTTTTTAATTTTGAAGACACTCTAGGATTGAGGGCTCCTGTTTTCAGGTAACACATTATTTGCTGAAAGACTCAAGCAACAGATATTGTTGATACTATTTTTCAGATCGCTTACAGCCAAAACATAATCAATTTAACACAGCGTTTAATATCCTCAAGCAATCATATGATTTATTATTCGTCATTTGTACTGGACTTATACCTTGATTGTTATTTCCCATTATTATTGTTATGGATGTTATTATATATATCGCTTCTGAATTATAAGGATGTGCAAATGTATTTTAATCTAGTTAGATATGTCAACTAACATGTACTTGTTATTCAGAAGTGTTTAGAATGTTGTCTGACAAGAAACTCTTTTCTTATCTTTATTACAATTGCATTGTTTTACGAATTTCCTTTCAGACGCTCTTCCGTGGGTACTTTTATTAGACAGCAACCTTTAACATCTTCTGGCAGCAGCAGCGTTGATAGCAGTCGAGGTAGCAAAACTTCTACGACGGCACCTCGATTAGATTATCGCAGTATGGTCTCGGTCGACGATATGCCGGAATTGTTTGTGAGTTTTGACAGTAAGTATCACGACCATATAGAGATATATCCATAAAATATTTCATGTTCTATCGGAATGGATAGTCTAATAATCATGAAGATATATATTCCAACAGACTTTCCTCTTACACAAAACACTTCGCTATTACTTTCATATGACATTTAATATTGGTATTGATATGGATAGAAAATGATTAATTAATAACAAACGGGTTTAATATATCACGCACTGCACTTGCCCAAAAACGCAACATAGATAGCTTTTTAAACCGTGTTGTTTTGCCAATTTATTGTCCCTGTTTCAGAATTTTTGAGCGCCTTTGGCTATAATTATTATAAATTTGCGCGAAAATTTTATATTTTCTAAATTTTATTAATATCATTAATTTTAAACTGTCAAGCAAACCCGGGATTAGTAACCAAATGCGCTTATCTTGGTGTACATTAAAGTAGTTTATCACTGTTTTAGATCATATTTGTTTATCATTATCAGTTTCATATGTCATTCCATTACGTAAACGTTAAATATTATAGTTATTATGGTTTTTATACATATAATATTTCAAGAAAAAAATAACATGAATAATGCAGGTCTTTTTTACATAATTAATTTTTTCCTTCATCGATCTTAGTTTGTATTTTAATAAATATAATTTTGATAAATATAATTGATAATATTTTAAATGATATATAAGAAAAAAGATTTAACTGAAAACAAGCACTTTTCATAACATATTTCTTTATAAAATATACCTTCAGAATCTTGAAACCCTTTGTGCCATATTGCATGTGATGGACGTATTGTTCCAATTTAAATGATCTTTTAATAATTGTCATTTGAAAGCATACTTAGCATAGAATTTCAGATTTTTCGCGTACTAATCTTTTCTATAATAATCGAATAACAAACATAATAATCTTTAAGGCCTATCTATACTATTTCTGCGAAATGTATGTAATATGTTCGATTGTTATAGATTTTGATAGTAATTGTTTGCATATTTCTGCATTGATTGCTCAATCATATCTTTCTGTGTCTCTTTCTCTTCAGTAATGTTTTATCTATTTCAGATTAGCACAACGGGTTTCATCATTTAGCTAGCAATAGGTTCATACTAATGCAGTAATGTCATTTGTTTCTGTTGCCCCTCTAGTCCAAGCACCTAATTTTCCCGAACTCGAAGGCCTGGGTAGGTTCATACAGTATTAGCTTGCTCTTCTTCTCCTTGTGCCGCGAATTCCCAATTCTTCAGTTGCCTCTTTTGTACGTCTGTCAAACGTAACAATGTTTTTGTCTGATTTCATTTACTGTCATGCATTAAACATGATTTGCGCAACTTACGGGCGACCATACACTGTATCACTGTAATGGTTATTTCCATTTCATCACTATTTTTTGGATATGTTATATAATTTGTCAAACTCTTCTACAATATTTGTGCAATATGTACATACTATTCATCTATCATGAGTCTATCCTCGTTGCTATTGTTATTCCTTTTACACGATAATTCTTACTCTGACACCCTCTACTCACTTTTTTGTGGTAATGTGCTTGCCTCGTTTTCCAATTTTATTCGTGTTTTTAACCTATATCTGTGTATTTTTCATGTAATTTTGATAACAATTCTTAAAAAAAAACTCAAGAAATAATCTTACATAATTATAAATATATAGGAGCTTCTTATCGCAAAGATTTTTTTATTATGATAACATTGTGAGTCATATTGCCTGGGTTCGCAGATTCTATATTCGAAAGATAAATCGATTATAAAACTCTTATTACTGAAGTATCTAATCTACATTGATCTATATTCATCTGATAAATATTTTCCACATTACGTAGAACTGATTCCACGACCTGCTCGTTCTTGCGAGGACCCACCGTTGTACCTGAGACTACGAACAGGAAGACCCAAGGATAAGAAGATACCACGATCGACGCCAATTATGAGCTACGGCAAGAAGAAACTGCGTCCCGAATACTGGTTCAGCGTGCCACGCAACAGGTAATTGTTTCTCACATTTTGATCTCTCACCGACATCTCGTTCCTTGAGTTATTGTAATTTTGTACGTAAAATATGCGAGAATAGAGTTCGAAACTCTGTCATTGAATTCTTTCAATTTACGCTGTAATTATTTATAAAGTATTTACACTACCAAAATAGTACATGAACTTCTCGATCTTACAATTATATGATAGAAATTAAAAACTATGCAATATAATCACGGTTGCTGTCTTTTGACTAGTGTTTCACTGGAAACTAATGGCTCTGCTGCAAGAGACTTTTTTGCCATTATCCTACCAAAGATCGATTATTATTGCCGAAATTATTACTTTCTTCTGTAATGCTTTGTGCTCTCTCTAAAAAAAAGTCATCAGATTTGGCCCTCTTAGTCGGAGAAATTTTTAGTTTATTCGAAACTGAAGGAAAATCGAGAAAAATCACATACTCATCAAAATTTAGAGTGTTAGTCGGAGATTTTTTCGTCTGCCGGAGAGTCAGAGATTCGTTCAAAAAGTCAGAATCTCCGATCGAAAATTGGAAAGTGACAACTGCAAATATAATATTTGAATGAATTAATTCCAAAACTTTTTCGATCAAATTTCCTCATGTTTCCAAACAATTCCAATGTTATCAAATTTATAAAAAATTTATTGTCGATGGAATAACTTTCGATATTATATGATTTTTTATTTACTCTTTGCTTTTCGCTTCCCAGTTTATTTTTAACATGTTAAAACATGATGATCGGAATTTTTTGAGGTTCCTGCATTCCTGCAATTTTATACAACAGGCTCGACGGGTCTTTTTTTTTTAACGCTTAACGAGTTGTCGTCGGGAAACGATTTATAGGCGCTACGCGATAAGTCAATCACTTCATCGTGCATGAATAAATATTCGACGGTGACGTTTTTCGGTTAAAAACACACCGATAAATTTCCTTCGGCGAAAATGTTGGCTGCGTTATTTTTGTACATATGGCCGGTTTATCGTACGGCCATCTCCACGAAAGAACGGCATCCAGAACGCGGTACGACCGGACACGTGCTTCGTCGCAAGACACGCAAAATAGATTTTCGCCGGAACTTCTATTTATACGCTCGCTGATGCTCGATCAAGGTTTTGTTGCGCGTCGGCTGCCAGTGTTTTTCTTGTTGTCACATGTGTTTAAAAACCATTAGAATAATGAAATAATGAATACTTTGCTTGCATGTGTGAAACATAAACTTAGTACACTGAATTTAAAGAATGACGAGAATGCACTACAATTTTTCGAGAAGTAACTTAGCATTATACTAAAATCATTAATTTTGTTTTTTTTTTAATCTATATATTTATTTACCGTATCTCTAAAGTAAATGTGTTTTAATTTTAAAAGAAAGAAAGAAAGAGATACATCTCCCCTTTGGCTGCATACGAAAGCATTACGTGTGCACTCAAATGCTTTCAAAAGGCATTTTCCTTGTTGTTTACCGAATGTTAAACAAAAGATTAAAGTGCTATTTGGAGACACACACTCGAGTAGTGTTTTCTAATGCGCCCTTTAAATGCGTGTTGTTGTTTAATTAAGGTAATGATCGCGATTCTCAAAATTTGGAATTCGCATACATGCAGTCAGAGCAAAAAGTATTAGTACAAAGAAATTTGTTATAAAAAAAGCCTTATTTGGAGAAAATAAACATTAATTAGCAATTTTATACAATGAATATATCTTCTGTTCTAATATAAACCAACGAGCTTAGCATGTATTCCTGATATTAGAAGCTAAATGTCTCGTCTGTATGAATACTTTTTGAGCATTCAAACAATACAATTTTTAATTTTTGCTTATTTTTCGGGTGATATATTTTGTATAATTAATACATATCATTTTGGGGTATACATAATTTTAAGAAACATACAGTCTATTTTATTCTTTATGAATAAATTGTTAATTATTCAACAAGAAATGATCGTTAATTAAACGTCGAATCGACGTCAAATTGGTATGTTAAAATTATCGAATTTATATCGATTCGATGACTCATTTCTCGCTGGATAATATTTACTTTTTAAAAATAAACTCTTTTTAAAAAATATTTTCTCTGTACGAATACTTTTTGTACTCACTGTATATTATACTCGTATATTTATATCGCAAATCTCGTTAACAGTCTTCTTTGAGTGTCATTTGTTTACAAATGTCATCAGCTATTTCCCAGTATTGCGATTGTGTCGGATAATACGCAATATTAAGATCGTCTTGGATGTTCGTACATATTAAGATTTATCGATAGCGATATTTTCTCGTATCAATCTGGAGTTCCGGTAATCGCTCTTATATTATCAGATAGATTTTAAATTACCAAAAATATTACTATCATTATAAGTAAGTGTTAGAAGAAAATTGATACACATCTATGTCAACAAGTGATGAAATAAAGCTTTTTTTTTACGTATTTTATATATATTTTTTTAATAAGAGATAATATGCATATACATCGTGTGATGTGACAACTTAATTTTCAACATAGAACCGCGAGTCTAAATTAACCCAATTACGGTTTAAGATTAATTTGGCTTTTTACGAAAGAGAGTTGTCACCCTAAAAGTGAAATTACTTATAATTAATTATGATTATTTATGAAAAATTTAAAGCTCCACTTGCAAATCCAAATTAACTGCAAAAGAAAAACTATCAGATGGGTTAAAAATGTCATAGTTACAGTTCTAGTGTTCAAAAATTCTTCTCATTTCTAATATTTTCAATTCTAATTTATCTGTCGATTTAAATTTAAATATCACAAGCAAAGATTTTTTACAATAAAAAATTTCAATTGGAATTCGACGGGTTGTGTATTGCTAAAAAAAATACCATTAAATGCACATTTATCAGTTAACCTATTATTGCATATCTTTTTCGTATATAATCCAAATATTTAGAAAAATATTTATAATCTCGTCTTATTGCGACGGCGAGACCTTTTAGTTTGAAACTAGATAACATTAAATAAAATTCAACGATGATGTAACCTGAAGATAAGTTATTGGAGTGGTCTAGAAAATAGGTCGGTAGATTAAGATTTAATATTTTTATTAAGCGAGAGATACGTACATATGTGATGTTTTTTGCGTTATAATTTGCGATTTATAATAACGATATCCTGAGTTGAATTAAAATTTGACTTTGTGTCGCACCAACGACCGGAGAATAATTTTTCACGAAAAGGATGGTTTTGTCAAAATATCTAAATATTTAGCTAGATACAGATTTGAAAAGAATTTTATTGAACCATCAAAATGCTTGAGATTCCTACGTAATTATTTTAACGATCCAACAAAATTATTTTCAGATATGTATCTAACTACATTTTTAGTTAATTTGAAATCATTCTTTCTGTATTCATATCAATCCAAGAATGAATTATAAGAGAGAGATAATTTTATAGTTTTTAAATATAAATTGAAAATATACGACGGAAATTCATGGAAAGAGAAGTGCTTTGCTGAAGTATCTAAAAATTTAGATATATAGATTTGAAAATAATTGTTGAACCATCGAAATAATTATGTAGGAAAGTCACGATGAGCAAAATTACAAAAAGTTTTGATATTCCAACAACCAGCTTGAACGTTCTATATAATTTTTAATAGTTTAACCAAATTATTTTCAAATCTATATCTAGCTAAATTTTTAAATATTTCAGCAAAACCGTCCTTTCTGTTTTAAAGTGAGTTTTGAATTTGTTATTGTTTTTTACATTCTCATGAGAAAAACGACGGCAAGAAAAACTACGGAGGAGCAGTTTAAGCCTTGACTGGCTAAAAAAAAGCTGGAACAACCATATCGGCGCGATACTGCGAGCAATGTTTCGCGTGAACGTATAAAATAAAAGTGCAGGTGCACCGAGCAAATCAGCGGCACGTGACATATGTACGCGAATCGCCTGTCGACGTTCGCGACGTATCTGGTAACCACTCCGTTTTCCGGTCGTTCTCCACGTACGCGACGTGTGTTCGCGTATCGCAAAGTGTCTCGCGTTACGTATCCCGGCGGCTCCGTTGAGGGACAGCCTGCCGTAAATCAATCGTTGACGTGTCGCGCGTAAATAAAAAAAGTATTACGGTGAGAAACGTACATATATTACTGGAATTGTCAGGAGGTTAGAAGCGGAGGCCACTGATAGCGAATATAGCGATCACTGATACGCCGCGACAGTCCGATAATTTCGTCGCGCGCAACGTGATACTTTGAGTTGGCTAGTTCACGTCGCGCTTCTCATTATTTCTCCCATCCATCTCCCGCCTACAACGCGGCGATGAATGGAACTATGAGCGCGATCGGCGGTATGCTGAATTTTATTTACGACCGCCACGTGAGAGGAGCGGTGACAAGCGTGATGCCCTTCGTGCATCGCAGGTAAAACATAGTGTGCGACACGGCTGCGACGCAAGGACAAGTCGCGGAATGCCGCGTTACGCATTATTGAATCTTGTTTATAAACTCTTATGTAATTTCAAACCGTAAAATTTCTAAAACTAAGAGCTATAAAATTATCCCTCTTTTGCACAATTTATTCTTATAGATTAGTATGAATAATTATTTTTCGATTTTTCGAAAAAACAATTGCGGATTAACGCCAATCAAAAACATCACACATATATCTACGTTTTATTTGTTCTAGAAAAAAAAAAAGTAAATTTATGATTTTATTACTACAATAATTTCATCTTCAATTTGCATCATCGTTGAATTTTGTTTATAAATTCTTATCTAATTTTCAATTGAGATCTAAATTTCCAATAAAAACTAAGAATTGTAAAATTATCTCCCTTTGTATTACTTATTTTTGGATTGATATGAAAAATCATTTTCCGGTCGAAAAAGAATTAAGTGAATCAAAGATACCACACATATATGTCTCATATAGTAGTAAAAATATTAACTACTCCGATATCTTTATGCGTGTAGTGTTGAACACGAAAGGAAGGTTACGTTTTTATATACTTTTTCTGTAGTAGCAAAAATATTACAGTTTCATCCATGATGTCAATCTATTTTTAAAAATCTATTTTTTAACTTTTTGATACAATAAATTTATCTTTAGCTTATATTATTGTTGAATTTGCTTTATGTATGCATTATAATTGTACAAAAAGAGATAATTTATAAACTCTTGTTTAATTTCAAATTAAAATTTATAAAACTAAAGAGTTTTTGAATTATCTCTCTCTTTATACAATTTATTCTTGAATCTGTGATTTAAAAAAATGCGAGAATTGGAAATGTCACACGTATGTCGCATAGCAAAAATATGAAATTTTAATCTATGATGTCGATCTGTTTTTTAAACTGTTCCATTAAATTTATTGACAATTTCTTTCTTACATTATAATTGAATTTTGTTTATAAACTTTCAGTTTTAAATTAAAATCTTTGAAAATAAGATCTCAAAATTATTTCCTCTTGTATAATTTACTTTTGGATTAATATGCAAATTGTCTGGTTCAATTGTCTGGTCAAAAAAACATCGTAAACGTAACGCAAATGAAAAACATAGAAACAAAAATATTAAATTTTAGTCTGTAATATTGATCTTTAGATATTTTAGATATTTAGATCTTTCCAATAATTTTATTTTTAACTTGTATTATCATTAAATTTTTTTTATTATAAAGTCACACCTAATTTAAATAAATCACTTATCTCTATAACGGTAATATTACGATTTTTTTTTACATTTTATACAGAAAAGATGCGCAATAATAAATAATACACACTATAGCACTAAAGTTCGATAAACGTTCTGATGTTTTAATATGTAAATGCATGCAGCAAATTGCGGCCTATTGTAAATTGATGTATCAAGAAACACGTTTCAACGTGCACGTCTGCTTTTAACGAAGGCACAGTACAAACGCAGATAAGTTACGAAGAACAAACATTATCGAATAAAAATGGAGCAAAGAGTTGACATTAAGTTCTGTTACAAATTAAACAGCGTCGAAGATGCACGGAATGTTGCAACAGGTTTACGGGAAGTATGACGAAGTAACGCAAACTTGACAAAAACTCTGACACCATCCGACGTATGAGATAGCTGATAACATATAGCAAATAATTCTCGGCTGATTAATTGCAGACGAACTGCATTTTAACCGAGAAATGATTTGCATCATTCTACATAAAATTTCTACCTGTCAAGGATTGTCCAGTACGAGGCTCATCCTTTAACATTTCTTTTCCAGGAGGAAACGTGCAAACTAATTCTACACATTTTCGCGTTACTACTTCATTCCCGTAAACCTGTTGCAATGGCAACATTTCGTTCGTCTCTGACACTCAATTACCCAATTTATAACAGAACTTAATGTTAACTCTGTTTCATTTCCGTTTGATGATGTGTGATTTTTCGTAACTTGTCTGCGTTTGCACGTAGCTGTGCGTTCATTAAAATAAGTTTCGTGCTGCATAGATTGTCAGTGACTCACGCTGAATTTTCCGTTTCGTTTTTTTATACTTTGGCAATAACGTAATTATAAAATAATTTTTGATATTATATGTGGATAGATAATTCTAATATATGATGTAATGGGTTTATTAGACTTTTTATTTTATAATAATGATTTTTGAAACCATTATGAAATACATGTTATTTAACAAATTTAACAAACGTATAAAAATAGCACAGGTCATTAGTGACCTCCACAGCATGGTCGAGTCATTAAAAATTGACGCTACACAAATTGTATTAATTATCGCACGACTTTAGTCTATTTGCGTTGCTTATTTTTTTAGAAATGTAAGCAAACGCTTCGTTTTTTCTTTCTTCATTGCCCAAGTATATACACTGAGAAAAAAATATCCTAAATTTCAATGAATATTTATTTGAATAGTACCAACTAAATATTTATTAAATATAAAAATATATTTATTTGGCACAGAAAACATTGATTTAACAATCTCTTCTTTTTATTAAATAAATTTATTTATTATAAGTAAATATTTAGTTGGCAGTATTCAAATAAATATTTATTTAAATTTAGGCTATTTTTTTCTCAGAGTACTTATTTTGTTTTAAATAGTAGTGTAATGGTCAAGTCAAGCTACTTAAAATTGGCTCGACATGGAATATGTTAAGGGTAGCATACATGTTGGGACATGCATATTACAATACGTCAAGTTGCAATTGAAAATTTCTGTAAAAAAATTGTTTACTTGTAATATTTAATTCGTGATGAATAAGTTAATAATAAATATTGAATTTGAGACGAATTTTTTGAAACTTGCTCGGCATCGCTGAATAATGTAATTGATGTATATATCGTTTCTTTCTTTTTTCTCTTTGCAGAGTGGACGATCTGTATAGGTTCATTCATGCGTGGGTGCCGAATTTATACGGCGAGCTGGATGAGAACTACTGGCGAGAACGCGGCTACATCCTGTCCGACACCGACACTGACCTGTCGCCGGAACTGTCACCCCACGAAAGCGGCGAAGGCGCGGATTCCACGGAGGAGAGCAAGGCTCGCGATGGACAAGGTGACGACATCAGCGAATTGACAAGGGAGTCCTGGGAGGTGAGTACCGTGACTGTTAATGCGCGACAGGATGTCGCTGAGTATCCCGTTACACTTTTCTAATATCTAAGTAGAGACTGTGTTACGAAGTTGCTACTAAAGACCGAAGAGTCTTGAAACTTTTATCCTTGATAAGTTATATATAATATAAGAACAAGAGCTTTGTCGATCAACTTTAAATTTTATTTATCATTTATTAGTCTGTCGTTATTGTCTACAGTTATTTAAAATCTATATTTCAACAGAAATTCGAGTCTTGCATCAATGTCGTAAATATTTAATGCGGAAAATAGAGTTGACGATCTTCATTTAAAATTCTTGCAGAAAAATTGACTTTAGATTTGATCTAGCGATGAAATCACTAATTTCAAGTTTTGCAGTATCGCATAATTTGTTGAAGAAAAAGAGATTACTATGTTTGATATTTCTCAAAGCGCAAAGATCTCTTTTATGACTTTTGCGAACATTTCTAATTTCGCTGATAACCCGATCCTCGTGTCGACTGACTATCGAATAGTGCCGAGCTATGTTAAATGTTTCGCGATATCGCGTGCAATCCATTGTTATCGATAGTAACATCAAAGGCTACTCTATTCCGGCGTTTGTTGTCACGATTGTCATCAAACGCGTCGGCTTGCTGTTGGTTTTCGACGCGAGGATCGCACGGAACTCGATGTATCTCAATGATGCCGCGATCGAGGATATTTGTTAAACACGGCCGATTCTATTGGCCGACAGCTGATCAAGGCCCCCTACGTAAAGCTGTACAGCATCCTGAAGACCTCGAGCACATCGGCCGATTCCGAGCAGATCCAGGATTCGGAGGTACCGATCACTCCGCCCACCTCCCCGGTGATCGATGATATCTATCATTAGGCACCCTAATTGCTCGATGTTGAACAATGCACCTTTTAGATAACACTGCCGCACCCTAGACAACCTCGTTAGCTCTCGGGTGCACCTGGCGTTGTCACGCGATGTTGCGGCCGTGCCTATCGTTTGATGTCCTTTTTCTTTCTTTCTTTTTTTTTTTAGCTGACTTTTTCAGCTCGCTTTATGCCCGCTTCGATTGTTCATGTCGGTACATTCGATTACCACGACTGAGGACCCTATTCTGGAATCTTTAACGATATTATTATTGAAAGATTGTTGTTAGGTAGAAAGAACTTATTCTGTAAAAAACAAAAAAAATGATAAAATTGTCTTAAACTCAACAACAGAAGAGCTAGAAAGATGTTATTAAGATTAGGACAATTTTATTTTTTTGTTATAGAAATAAGTATATTAACAATTTTTTAATTATAATATCGCTGGGGAATATAATACGTTCCTTAGTAATTTGTTAATATTTATGATACGAGATAAAGTAATGTAAAGAATTCTTTACGGTCTTGTTGTTCACTCTTGCTGTCTTATTCTCGTCCTCGCGGTGATTCATAACAATGATGTACAGATCAATATACCAGGAACGTCTTTTAGTAATAATTCGTTTAATTCGCTCTTATTGTTAGTATTTGGATCTTATTTGAGCTAGGGTTTATCTTCCGATTCTTATCTCGACGAATCTCACGTCACTCGCCGAAAAGACTGCATGCACCTGTTCCTTCTGGTTGTAGAATATATTCTCAACTAGAATTTAGATGAATGTGCAGCATGCACTTGTTCAAACTCTCCATCTCGCGCATGTATTATGTTTTTACCGTATCTCATTATTATTATCTTCATCTTGTTTTCTCTCTCTATATATATTTATATATCTCATAATACGTTTCAACAGTTTTCGTTTCATGCAGATTTCTGTCACAGATTTCTGTGAGCGATTCGCAATACTTGCAGAACACACTTTCCATATTTAGTCGATTCTTATACGATGCGACTTTATGCAAATCGGTACTGCCTCGAAAACAATAAAGATTATCGATTCCAAGGCAAAATGGTAATTGTGATAGCATCGTGTTGTGTCGTGAGTGTGGATACGAAGTAGAGAAACGCAATATAGTTAGCTAGAGCATAAGAGACCGGAAAATCTCTCTCACTCCCTTGACTGTTTATTCTCTTAAAGAAAATATCTGACGGTAATAGAATCTCTCTCTATCGTTAAAAAGCATTTAATAACGCTTCCTTATGGAAAGGTGGTAGACGATTAGTTTCTAATTTGTTTACGGAAGAATGAGATTTAGACGTTTACGTGCGTGATAAATACTGCGTATACCTTGCGTAATGTAAGCGTGCAACAATGTAAGCTAACTTGTGTCAAGAGTCAAACTCTATGAACTAGTCGCCGCTTGCATAATATTAATGCATTATTGATGAGAATTGACACAGTTGGTGTAAATTGACACAGATGTAATAGATAACTTTTTTTTTAAGAAAATAGGCACTTATCTTTCATACGCTCAATTATTTGCAGAAAATTTCTTCTTCTGTTGAAAATGTTAAGTTAAATTATAAACGCTTTGTTTCTTATTTTATAAAATAATGAGGATTTATTAATATGTAGATTAATACATTGCATTCTATTGTGAAATAAGTAATAATGATTTTATTGAGATAAAAACAAATTTGATTGAGCCGAAAAGAAGTATGACAAATACTTATCGTAATCAGATATCGATTTCAGATAAAGATTGATTTAATGTTTTTTTCTTATGTAAATTCGAAGAATATTTTTTTTTATTCACACTTGTTTACTTCACTTTCTTTATGTAACAAAATTACACATAAAATATTAATAACCGAACGGTGTAGGTGTAATAAAAAAATCAAATTTATTGAAACTAACATATTCAATAAAGTAGCATAAAAAATTGATACAATGAAGTTTATAAATCTTCGAATTATTGTTCATTTTAATTCAAATTTATAGAAAGTCACAATGAATAATGTTATTAATTTAAGATCATTATTAACAAAACGTTATAATCCACTCGCGACTATTTTTCTCTCCTGGAATATTTTTGACCTGTCAAAAATAAACGATAAAATGCCAAGCTTCAGGTATTGTTTTCACTTATTTTTGGACTCGCGCGGTGTTTATCGTAAAGCCAGACATAATTTGCTTAAAAATGTGTTGACTCAGATTTCGCTTAACTCTTATCCACAAAGTAACGGTATACCATGCGGAAAACTTTCCGAAGAAATACATTGAAAGTTATATTAATTTTATCAACATACATTGATGGATGCTTGCAAGATATATATATAATTAAAGATGAGAATAATTACTTCGAAGTTACTTCCAGAACTAATTAAAAATAAGTTTACAACTAGGTAAAGACAAAGATAAGTATAAAATGAAAATGAGTAGCAGTCTTCACGAAATAAGTATATTCAAGCAACTGTAAATGACTGTTGAAGAATAGTGACTAGCTTAAAAGCTATAAAACAATATTTTTTAAGATTACGTTTTTCTACTCTACACAGAATCTTGAAAAGTTGAATTAATATATATAATTATTTTCTTAATCTTGCCCAAATTAACGTTGATTTGAGTTCATGAAAGATGGTTCTTGTTCACGACAATATAAGGAGATTGAAGATCACGAGAGATTTTTAGAACAAGTAGCACGTGCTGCGCAAATGAGGATGCGCAGTTGTGAGGAAAGCATCTGTCGAAGTATATACGTCACTCGTTTTCTACTCCCCTCCTCTCGTTCTTCACTTATATGAATGTATTAGATTTACTCCGAAAGCTCCAGTACGGTTTCAATCCTCGTAAAGTGAAGTTCTCTTACTCATTGGCACGTCAGTATAAATAAAAAAAACTAGATAACATAACTAGTATGCAGTAAGGCCAAGTAATATTGAATATCTTAACGTTGTTTTGATTAAACTAATTAACTCATCAGAATATCAAATGGCAATATTGAGCAAGGTTTCGCTGTGATTTGTCAAAGAACATTACATTAGAAAAAAAATTAAGTTACGTTTATTCATTCGATTATCGCTTTGCTTCTTCAAAAGAAACTTTGTGTTCCTCGAAAAAATACAATTAGTGTGTGAGGCATAATGTAAACGACTTTTACACGATTTTTTATTTGTGAACGAAGGAAAAAAAGATCGAAATTCAGGACAAAGGTGCTGACCGCGAATTTTAGTGTTCATTGAAAGTAGCGCGAGTGATTCAGGATGCCAAAGTCAAAGATGCCGAATCCAATCGTCAAGATCACGAAATTCTTGAAACAGAAAACGAAGGTAAAAGTCAGAGTTGAAGCGAATGTACTCGCGTCTTTTAATCACGCTTACTTCTCTACGCGACGCAAATGTCTCCAATTCTGGAATTGTCAGGAATGTTAGTTTAGAAATCTATTTAAAATTACGTAATAAAGAAGATTTTGCCTTAGACGCCTGACTATAATGACTGTTTTAATTTTAATTTATGGACTCTTTACCAAATGCCATAAAATCTCATAATTCGACATTTAAAATTAATGACGTAAAATATTTTCGATTACTTCTTTGAGTACAAAAACTTTAAATACATGCTTATTCATATTAAGGATACTTAACAAAATTGTGATAATAATTACTTTTGTAATTATGTAATGTTGTATAATTACATATTATATTCACTGCACTGAAAAAAAAAATGTTTCAACAGCGTTATTTTAATCGAAAATAATCTTATTAATTTAAGAACGGTATTAATAAAACAAATAAAATTTTATTAAAATAAGATTTGTTTCATTAACGGTGTTATTGTGAATTAACAAAATTATTTTTAATTAAAATAATGCTATTAAACAATATCATTTTCTTTTCATTGCATTGTAGAAAAAAAGTCTATTGCATTAATTTTAATCCTGGTTGAAAATGATAAATCAGAATTTTTTTATTGGATCTATTATAATTTTAATTGTGATATCTAAAAAATTTTAGTATGATCGAAATCTTCTACTTCGTTTATTTTTAACCAGAAATTTTTTTTAGTGAATATATAATTATATTTATAGTATAGTTTCCATACAGTTTAACTTATAGTATATCTTACAATTAGTCGTATTATTTCTGGTCACTAATATTACTTTTGTTTACTACGTAGCGGATACACTTACTGACTCAACATGTTAATTTATTCATCTTTAAATGGTCCACTTAAAGTCTGTCAAGATGAACAATTATTCGCGTACGGCACTGTTCGACGTAATGTTTACAACGGAAATGATTTTAACAATTCGCGAATACACGAAAGCCATGCATTTGCTTGCGATCTATTTCACATAATTTACACGTTAATGACTTGAGAAGAGCGGCACTATGCAGGATGCATATTTAACAACCAGTCTTTGGTCGAGCCTAAGTTCACCTTTCACCGAACTGTTACTGCAAAATGTGCCATTTAGAACTGGTCGGCTTTGAATTATGATAATATCAATTGATTAATAATGCGCATTGTCGGTTATCACCTGCATAGCAACTTGCATTTGAAACAATAATAAAGTTTACAATTGAAAAAGGTGAAAACTTTTCGAAGGGCAATTGAGAGTCAGCGCTTTCTCGAAAGGAAGCGGAAAAAGATGTTATATCTTTTTCCTCTTGAGACTCATTCAAACAGTAGTTTGTTCGAGTAACTTGAGTAAGTTTTGGGAATATTTGGAATTTTATGGTGAAAACGAATTTGTAGTAAACGAATTTCAATTGGTGGATATACAGCGACATTATAACGTCATCTACGTCATTGGACATAGAAAGTAATGCGATCGTCAAACGTAATAAATAGTTTGGATTAGTTTAGAAGAAAAGAAATTTTGTGATAAATAGAATAAATGGTTTGTTAGCGATCTCTGCAGATTGCATTTTTTTCATTGTAATCTTTTGTTATAAGA